AGACAGTGACATGACAGGAGACAGTGACAGGAGACAGTGACATGACAGGAGACAGTGACATGACAGGAGACAGTGACAGGAGATAGTGACATGACAGGAGATAGTGACAGGAGATAGTGACATGACAGGAGGCAGTGACAAGACACACAATGACAGGAGACAGTGACATGACATGAGACAATGACATGACACACAGTGACAGCCGTCAACAAAAGAGACAAGCACTCACCCTGATCAGCACCTAGCCTCCTAGACACCAGGAGCTCTGTGGAAACAACAAGCAGTGACTGTACTAACGTTCTTGGGGACGTCACTTTGGTCGGTCGTGGACCAAGTTTACCAACAAAGAACACAATCTCATTTGTTCTCAATATCAAAAGGAAATGAGTGAGCTTGAGATACGTTCTTATACAAAAACTTTGACAGTTAAACATTTGTACAATCTATTTACAGCCTAAGCATGGCCATGAAATGACCAAATTATGTTGATAATGCCGTGAAACAAATACATTACATCTCAGTGAGTAACAGTTCTAGCAACACACACTAGGACAACACCAGGACAACATTGCCTTCTCTGAGCTGCACCATCAGTTGCACACATGTCCCTATCTGTTCATCCAACACAGTACAGCTAGAGCCAAAAGGGGAACAAGCCACTACAGTCCCCACTAATCAACTGGAGAAATTCTCTGTACCCACAGAGGTAACACAACCACTGCGGGAAACTTACACAGAAATTCAAACTCTAAATAAAATTAAATACTTCTACATACAACTAGCTGTAAACAAGAAACTGACTCAAAATCAAGACTGACTTATCTGATTACATTTATAATTTACCAAAGTCCCTGAATTGCAATCCACCTCCAAGCTAGATAGTAGTACCAGGTACCAAACCAAAAGGACAAGAAAATATGTTCTGTTTATTCATGTTATGTATTATTATATTCATACACTTTACTACTTTTGTTATCTCAGAAAAATGTAATTTCCAACGCGAAAAAGTCTTACAAAAGATTAATCAATTCTCCTTCACATAAAAAAGAGAAAAAACGAAAAGAAACAATTCTGACAGTGAATCATCAGTGAATGCTAATCCGGTAATCCACTAATCCAAGAAAATATGTGTCAGGATTAGGTAAGAGAAAGAAAAAGAAAGCCTTAATTCAAAAAAATAAATAGACATGCTCATGTTTTCACCACAAAGTGAACAAAGGAACATTCAAAGTTAGAGAAAGCTTATGGCTAGTCTATCTAGATCTGCTGGAGAACAAAACACTAGTAGTAGAAGGCTACTTAGTTACACAAGAAGTTAGGAGAAAACAACAGTACTTAGTTACACAAGAAGTTACACGTATTATTGTTCTACTGCCAGCGGACAGCAAGAAGATATTACGACTCAAATAAACTCAAGGTCTGCACCGTATTTTTGACTACAGTTGACCACAGCAACTGCTTTAGACTGACCTTTGGGGGAACAATCACAGAGAAAAAAACGGCATGGAATCAGCACTGGCAGCCCTTGATGAGCATTTTAAACTAGCAATTACTTCTGCTATCAACATGAAATAATTTCTGCATTATTTATGTTTCCAGTAGCTGTCTATGAGATTATACGAGCAAATTCATTCCCATGTGGCATATTGTTGCAATAAGTAGAGGCATGCAGTATGCAGAGATGCAGGTGGCAGGTGGCAGGTGGCAGGCAGTGTGCGGGAGCTGGGGGGGGGGGGGGCAAATGCCCTCCCGTGAGATCTGACTGTCTCCTCAGCTCCTCCCATGGCCTGGTTTACTGGACCGCTTTGACCTGGGCTTTTCCATGACCTTTGAGAGTGAGCTCAGCACGGACTTTTACAACAGCAGCGTCTACATGACCTATTTCAACAAGGTGTTAGTTCCAAGTTATGACCTACTGACCTACTTTTACATGTTCTATTACCATATTCCGTACGACCTACTTTTACATGTTCTAGTATCATATTCTACATGACCAACTTTAACAACAGTTGCCATGTGACCTACTTTTACAACAGGTGGAGTCTACATGGCTAAAACAGACAACAGAACCCTGTAGTATTGCACTATGGTTCACAAGGCAAACGAATCAATACATAATACATGTGTATGGATACATATACCGCACAGCAAACAAGCTTCCTGGTATCTCTATTTCTCATTCTCTGCATACAAAAACTGATCACCTAGGCTACCCTTCCACAAGATCCACAAACCTAGCTCTCAGGACAGATCACAGGCAACCAGAGCAGTAGACTACAACACAAGTCTCTCCGCTAATGTCAAAGGTCACGGCAGCTATCTTATATACATATATTAAGATGTACACACTCAAAGTTCATGCACACCGTCTGTCTGTCTGTCTGTCTGTCTGTCTGTCTGTCTGTCTGTCTGTCTGTCTGTCTGTCTGTCTGTAACTGACCAAGCCCCGTGCACAACAACACACACAGATTTCTTGACATAATGACAAAGACGTAGGCCTAAAATAATTTCATTCATCACAAGCGAAGACAAGATGTCATGTCAGAACCAAGCAAAGACAAGATGTCATGTCAGAACCAAGCAAAGACAAGATGTCATGTCAGAACCAAGCAAAGACAAGGACAGGGGAAGTGAGCACACGTAACAATATTCCAGCTGACAAGGACAGGGGAAGTGAGCACACGTAACAATATTCCAGCTGACAACGTACGGGGAACAGCCCAGAGAGCCTGGACCAAAAGTCCACCCCCCCCCCCCCTGAAAAACCCCATCAACAACAACAACAACAACAACAACAACAACAACAACAACAACAACAAAACACCAACGTGGGGCAAAACTAAGAGCAAAATGTACAAGACATAAATGGAGACACATTCATTAGAACACATTAGAACACATTAGAACACATTAGAACATATTAGAACACATTAGAACATATTGGAACACATTAGATCATATTGGAACACATTAGATCATATTGGAATACAGAAATTTAAAAAACAAGCAGAAAGTGACTGTTGAAACTAAATCCTAAAGATCAAAGTGAAAAAAACAAAACAGGTGAAAATATACACAAACATAAAAACACAGGTGAAAATATACACACAGGCGAAAAAATAGGTGAAAAATACACACAGGCGAAAAAACACAGGTGAAAAAAAAAAGCACATCCCAGGACAAGTCGAGTACGCCAGAGAGGGGGAACTTGTGGTGGGGAACATCAAAAGTTGCACTGGTTTTGGTGGAAATGTTCAGATATATATACAATGTATATATTATACACATACACACCAACATTACTAGTAATTGTAAAACAGTACACACACACATACACACACACCAACATCACAAAACAGTACACACACACACATTAACATCACTAGTACTAATAATGGTAAAACTGTACACACACACACACACACACAGCGAGCGACACAGTACACATTTACCACACACAGTCCTCACCTCAAGCACAAATTCTCCGCAGCAGTAACATTTGAAGGGAAAATCTCATGTCAGTGAAATATGGGGTGGAATTTGGGGAAATCTCATCAGTGAAATATGGGGTGGAATTTGGGGAAATTTCATGTCAGTGAAATATGGGGTGGAATTTGGGGCAATCTCATGTCAGTGAAATATGGGGTGAAATTTGGGCAAATCTCATGTCTGTGAAATATGGGGTGAAATTTGGGGAAATCTCATGTCTGTGAAATATGGGGTGATATTTGGGGAAATCTCATGTCAGTGAAATATGGGGTGAAATTTGGGGAAATCTCATGTCTGTGAAATATGGGGAAATCTCATGTCAGTGAAATATGGGGTGGAATTTGGGGAAATCTCATGTCTGTGAAATATGGGGTGGAATTTGGGGAAATCTCATGTCAGTGAAATATGGGGTGAAATTTGGGGAAATCTCATGTCTGTGAAATATGGGGAAATCTCATGTCAGTGAAATATGGGGTGGAATTTGGGGAAATCTCATGTCTGTGAAATATGGGGTGGAATTTGGGGAAATCTCATGTCAGTGAAATATGGGGTGAAATTTGGGGAAATCTCATGTCAGTGAAATATGGGGTGACATTTGTCAAGCCAGTGTCAGAGTAAGCATCATGCAGTGTTGCCTGGAGAGAGAGAGAGAGAGAGAGAGAGAGAGAGAGAGAGAGAGAGAGAGAGGGAGAGAGAAAGAGAGAGAGGGAGAGAGAGAGGGAGAGAGA